GGACCTGCAGTCTGACATAATGCATACATTATAATATTTATGTCAGTGAAGAAATGGGTCTCCAATAAAGCAAATTCATTCCTTAGTTCTGGTTAAATCCTCAAAGAAGTTATTTCAAGGAATTCCTAGGAATCTTTTTAGATAGAAAGCAAAGATTAGACAGCCATTTAACACTTAAATTAGAGATCCTGCAAGGAGCAGGGGATAAATTGATGCTTCTAATTATGATTATAGTAGTCGTGAAGAAGATAAAAAGTTGGGGAGAAATGACATTAACACTCTTCACTGTGTAAAAACAATTAGTTTAAAATATGAAATTCTAAAATAATCTGAAAATGGGACTTTTTTTTTCAAAGTGGAAAAAATGAGAAATTGGAAACAGATTTTGACAAAGTATATTTGTTTGGATATATGTATACCTTTCTAACGGCTGTAAAATAATTTTATTGTATTTATACAGAATTATAATTAGAATATTAAATAGCATACGTATTTCTGGGAGTGAGGAAATCGAACTCCAAGAAAAATCAGAAATATTCATAAAACTATAACAGCAGTGCCCCCTGCGGACCACTTGATGAATAGAAAGTCTAAGCAATATTTGAATGTATCTCAGTAGTAATAGATAACAATATTGTGTAAAGTTTCTTCTGTGTAATCTATTGTATATCACATGAATTTACAAGAATCCAATTTGCATAACTCCCTATATTTTACACATTAATTAGAGGCTTCTTTCAGAGAAATCTGAGAAAAATAAACACAGAATTCCAGAGATATGCAAGTATTATTTTTACCTTGGATTCCTTGGATAAATTGTACCATCATGTTGTTGAAGAAGTGGCTGCTCTGTGTCATGAAAGTCTTCTGGTAAAATAAAGCTGTGATTGAGATCACATATTCCTTTAAGCAATGATTTCAAAATCATGGCTTGTTGAACAATACAATTGGGTGGCAGCTTTTATCAAAATAAATTAAGAATTAAAAACAGTTACAAATCAGAGCAGGGTCACACTGGATGTTAGCTGAAAGCCCAAAGAAATTGGGTTAGGGTTTAGAATAAAGGTAATTCATATTTTTAGGCTTATGAATGTTGCAACAAAAAAGATATGGTCATTCACACATCACAGATGTGTACCAGCCACACATTTGTCAAGAATAAAACTGGTGACATTTCTCTGAACTCCTAATCTAGCTTTCTACTTAAAGCACTATTTTATTTATTTTATTTTATTTTTAAAATTTATAAGGACTCTGGGCGGCTAACAATAAAAAACACATAAAACATAACAAAACAAACAGTACAAGAACAGTCATCCAGGGGTCAGATTTTATAAACCCCAGGCCTGCCGGAAAAGCCAGGTCTTAAGCAGCTTACGGAAAACCAACAGGGTGGGAGCGGTCCTAATCTCTGGGGGGAGATGGTTCCAAAACGTGGGCGCCATCACAAAGAAAGCCCTCCTCTGTGGCCCCGCCAAATGGCACTGCTTGGCCGACGGGACCTGAAGGAGGCCCAGCCTGTGGGATCTAACCGAACGTAGGGAACTATGAGGTAATAGGCGGTCTCACAAATAGCCTGGCCCTGAGCCATATAGGGCTTTAAAGGTAATGACCAACACCTTGAATTGGACCCGGAGACCAATAGGCAACCAGTGCAGCTCACGGAGGATAGGTATAACGTGGGTGTATCAAGGAGCACCCACTATCACTCGCGCGGCTGCATTCTGGACCAACTGTAGTCTCCGAATACTTTTCAAGGGTAGCCCCATGTACAGCGCGTTGCAGTAGTCCAGACGTGAGGTGACAAGGGCATGAGTGACTGTAAGGAGAGCCTCCCGGTCCAGGTAGGGTCGCAACTGGTGCAACAGGCGAACTTGTGCAAAGGTCCTCCCAGCCACAGCCGTCAAATGATGTTCCAAATTCAGCTGTGGATCGAGGAGGACACCCAAGTTGCGAACCTGCTCCGAAGGGGATATATTTTCCCCCGCAAGAGTCAACACTGGACAGTCGACATGATCCTTGGGAGGCAACATCCAAAGCCACTCGGTCTTGTCAGGATTCAGCCTGAGTCTGTTAACCCCCATCCAGACCCTCACGGCTTCGAGGCAACGGCCCATCACATTGGCCGCTTCACTGAGAGAGCTCGGGGAGGCGATATATAACTGGGTATCATCAGCATACTGATGAAACCTCACCCCATGCTGTCTGATGATCTCACCCAGCGGCTTCATATAAATGTTAAATAGGAGGGGGGAGAGGACCGACCCCTGTGGCACACCGCATTCAAGGGGCCTCGGGGTTGACCTCTGCCCTCCCACCAATACCAATTGCGACCGGCCAGAGAGGTAGGAGAACCACCATAAAACGGTGCCTCCCACTCCCACCCCTTCAAGTCGTCGCAAAAAGATACCATGATCGATGGTATCAAAAGCCGCTGAGAGGTCAAGTAGCACCAAGACAGAGGAATAACCCCTGTCTCGGGCCCACCAGAGATCATCCATCAGCACGACCAAAGCGGTTTCTGTGCTGAAGCCGGGCCTGAAGCCAGATTGAAAAGGGTCTAGATAATCTGCTTCATCCAGAGACCGTTGGAGCTGGAGCGCCACCACTCTCTCTACAACCTTCCCCACAAAGGGGAGATTGGAGACTGGATGGAAGTTATTTAAGTCAGCCGGGTCCAGGGTAGGCTTCTTGAGAAGGGGCCTCACAACCGCCTCCACTACATTCACTGCTTGTCTTTTTTTTTTACGGGTATATAGATATGCTTCCAAATCATGTTTATTTTGTATGACTAACTTTAATTATTCAAACTGTAATCAGCAATGAGTCAAGAAGACATACAATAACATTTAAAATTATCCTTAATAGACAATACAGGATAAGTGCATAATAAGCCTTCAGACTCTAGAATATGGGACAGCATCTGCCAAACTATCAAAATCATACTTCCAAACTCTCAAATAGGTTCAGAGGAATACTATGGTCAATGGTATAAAAAATTGCCAAGAAATTAAGAACTTCATGTTCCTTATCCCACCAGAGGTCCTCCACTAGAAAAATCAATGCTGCCTTACTATTATATCCAGGGCTGAAATTCAACTAATCTGAGTCACCCTGGCCTAACCAAAAATGGAAAGGTTGAAGGCCAGCCAGAAATTGTCCAACACCATTTAATCTAGTGTTGGCTTCCTGTTGGTGTATTACATGTGCCTATGCTCATTTCTTCCTTCCCTTTTCAGCCCTTCAAGATGGCTCAGCTATCAATAAAGCACCAATAGTTGCACTTCTGTATCTGGAAGGAAAAAAACAAGTTGAATTTATTGGAACTCTGGAGCCACATAGTGATGAGCAAACCAAAGCAAAATGCCCAGCACTAAAATTGAAGAAACCCAGTGGGAAAAGCCAGAGTTTGCTGCAAAGGACACAACAGGAAAGGAAGAAACAGCTTGGAAAACTGGGTGGGTAGGTGAGAATCATCCTTCTTTCCTCAGATTGGGAGTGAGACAAACATTCTTCTATGGAAGAAGAGAGAAAGCATTCCCTCTGCTATAGTGAAACACTGAAAACTTTGGCCTTTCAGGAAAAGGTAAAGGACAAAGGAAATTAGATAAAAAGCTAAACTCGATAGGAAAAAAGTATAACAGCAATAGGATTACATAGAAATTTGAATCAAGGATCTATTGAGTTTAGTGACAAAGAAATATAGCCATTAGTGGTTAGAAATTTTCTGTAGAGAAATAAGAGTAGATTAATATGATAAAGAGAGAGTGAAGATAAAATGTTTGGTCAGGAGGAAAAAAGAAGATAAAAATCCTCCCTAGTGATTCCCAGAGTCCATCTATAGTGATGCAAATTGTTGCTCTAATTTGGCAAGATTTCTTTCTATGGATAAGGAATAATATGGAATACTATTCAGAAGTAACCCGTTTTTCCTAGTTTGGAAGGGGGGGCTCATATGTAGATTATTAGGAGTACTAGATAAGAATAGGAATAAGGCATAGAAGTTAAGCAATATGCTAGAAGTGATATATTTAGATAATAACTCAAGAAATTTACAAGTTTATAATCCCCTTTTATAAAATAAATTTTCCTCCAGCCCCAGATTCCAGGGCTTTTGTGTCTATCTGGGTTAATCTGATGCACTATGATTCCAAAAAAACCCACAACAGAGCAATCTGATAGGATCGTCATCACCTGCTCATTCCAGATGGCGATTAAGTCAATCTGCCCATTAAAGCCTCAAGAATTTTTACAATTTCAAGAAACCAGAGACTAATCTGAGCATGGATAGATATTTCCCCAACTTCTAATCATTTTACAAGTGTTCTGGGACAAAGAACCTCAATAACTTAGATTCGGCTCATAGTTGTCATGGAGGCCATGGACTCGATTTATTTCAAATTCCCTATCAAGCAAAGGCAGACTGAAATCTCCCAGGACAAGATATGGGTGCTTTAAAGTTTTTAAATGATCAAATGATATTTTTAGTTAAAAGAACTGTTTAAAACATTTATGAAATCCTTCCTGCTCCCTGAACATGTCTGAAATGTTTCATTATCCAAGTAGGTAGCATTACAGTGCTTGCGAGTCTGTTTAGTAATTAAGGAGTTTTCATCATTTCCTCTGATTGTTAGTTGGTTTTAATGAATGTGCTCTGCTAGTCTTTTCTTTGTCCTACTTAATAACTGTCACAGTCCTTATTCTGTATGCCATAAATGACTCCTAGTTTTTTTCTCCTAGGACTAGTAGGTCTTTTGGTTTCCTTAAGATGTTTGGCTTTAAAACATTTATTGGACATAAATCTGACTCAAGCAATTAAGTAATCTAATTATTCTTGCTCTGAAAAGAACTTGCACAGTTACTACTCTTTGCACTTAATCATAAATATGGTTAAGAGTTCAGGAAAATAATATTATTCTATGATATTGGATATGATTGCCAGTTGGAGGGCGGACTAAAGTTAGAGCTTCAGGAAGCAAGTGTATTAATGATTCCTTTAATAAATGACTCAAAGCAGAAAATATCAACTTTATTGAATTTGTCTGTTAATTGTATGAATATTGAGATACCCACTTTGGTTCTTTTTATACAGTGTAATTACAGAAAATAAAAAAGGAAAACATGAAGGCAATTCTTAATATATAAGAGCAGTAAAAAATGGCAAATGAAGTATATTTGTTTGCGGAGTGAAAATCAGCCAAATTTATATACTATATATCTTTATTATTATATATGGATATCAATATACTGTATATCAATATTTGACAAGAATTTGAGTTATATGGAGTATTCTGACATAAATGGTATAATAGTTGAAGGTATGATTGTAAATATTGAAATAAGCAACTTTAATAAAAATCCTCCTGCAAGCTTAATTCAGTGTGATAAGACTCTTAATGTCCTGACTTGAACTAACGCCTACGTCGATGATCATTCCTTCTGTTTCCACGTTCAAAAAACATGAAATCCTAAAATGTAAAAGAAAAAAAAAACTCAGACTAAAATCCTTGTTTATTCATATTTTACATCTGCTACTCCTGAATGAAGGTTACCTGAAGTTCCTGAAGTAACCTACAAACTCCTGAGTGTATGAGAAGACTTTTGAAATATCTAATAACCTCTCCAAGGAAGCAGTGCAAATCATGTCTCCTCTTATTACCAAACTCTGAAGATGATTGGTAGTGTAGGTTACTGTCAGACTAAGTAGAACTAGAAATGCCTCACTCCTTATCACAATATCACCACAGGTTATTCACAAGAGCAAAAAGTGAGGGTTAGTTGGTAATTCTCTAAAAGAGTTGAATCAAATGATGTTTTCTTGAGGACAGGTGAACTACCTCTTGCAGTCTCCATCTTCACCCCATCTTCACCTTCCTGGAAATCAACCTAAAAGTATATGGATCTAACCTACATACTGTATACTCACCTAATAGATGGTGGAGCTGATGTCATAAAAAAAATTTTCTTAAGACCAACAGGCTCTTATTGCCTCACAAGAGAGTAAATCACACTGTCCTCGCTGCTATACCTCTACATTCAGTGCAGATTAAGGCAACTAGCTACACAACAAAATCTCAAATTAAATGGATGATCTGAGCTACTAGAGATAAGGTTGCAGAGGCAAGATTTCTGTCTAAATTATAATTCTAGGCATACCAAGTTTCAATCTCCTATCCTATACCTCCTGTGTATTGCCACTAAAGAAAGTGGAGATGTTATTCATGGACCATGCTAAGAGCTAATTTGTCCAAAATTCTTTTTACTATCTTGTGAACCCATTGTTTTCACAATTGTAATGTTTTAGGCCTAGGACTTACCATAAGAAAGCAAGCCCCTGTTATGACTGCTTTCATATTAATATCAAGATCCATTGGAAAGCGGATATGAAAAATGCTTGCATCTGTAGCAGCCTCTCTTGCTAAACCAGTCCATCTTTTTACTATGTTTCCAATTGTAGTTTTCCCATCTACTGTTTTCACCTGATTTTAAAAAGAACAAAAGAAAAAAGAACAGATTTTATTTTTTCTAAAATATATTAAATATTTTAATATAAACATTATATTTAACAAATTATTACATCTTTTTTCCCAATGTTTAAATACCCCATACTGATATCTCAGATAGCAAGACAATATCTCAAACTGGCTGAATTAATATTTATATATCACCATCAATTAAATAAGAAATTTCAACATAAATAAATACTACATTCATTGAAAAGCATCATGTTACTGCAAGGTGATCAGCACAAGTCCTTTAGATTTATAAGTATTCTATACCTACATTTTTATGGAAGATTTTAATTACACTAATAAAAACAAATACAAACTTTACTCAGAGAAAGGACAGTAAAAGAAAAAATAAAAATAAAGAAAAAAAACAAGAGAAAGAAAAGGGAAAGAGTGAAATAAACAGAAAAAAACCATAAAGAAGTGGCTTCTAATTTTCATCATAAGAATAAACAAGTTTGATAGCTCTTCATCTTCTATAAGATGAAGATATATCTTCTTCCTATAACCCATTTCTTATCTATAAGCAAATACATAAAAGATCAAATTTTCAACACTGGTATTAGCAAAAAAATCCAAAATGCGTTGCCAGAATTTCATAAAAATGCTCTATTTTACCCTTGATCAAATAAACCAATTTTATATTTCTTCCTTTTATTTCTGAAAAATCTTAATCTTTAATTCATTCAATTACTGATATAAATTGATTTCTCTTGAATTCTTCATCTTATCACATAAGCTTCTTCAAGGCTTTAACAAGTCTCATTTGTAAATCCAATGGAAAGACATTATCTAGGTCATTGTTTTGATTTATCAATTGCATTTCCCTTTTAATTTTTAAAACCTCTTTTACAACTTCTTTTGTATAACAAATAAAAAATCCTTATAAGGATCATTCTGTTGGCATGGTCATTTGTATTCCACTTTAAAAACATTTTTTTGTCTTTTTCAATATTTCTAATTCCACTATTGGATTACTATGAGCCCACTCTGCATCAAGCAAAATTTTTAATTTTTTAAAATATCATAGTGTTTTTGTCATTTTGTAAATCCCAATCCTAATCAGAACAAAAGGGCAGTTTTTTTTCTTTTGGCCTGGTATATGTTTCAATTGAAATATATTCCTTTATTCTTTCCTATTTTGCACTACAATTGACAAGTGATAACAAAGTTATCTTTCAAAATAACTCACCAAATTAAGGAAATAAATGATAAAAGATTGAGAAAGCTGGAGAAATTTAAACTTATCTTATCACATAAACTATGAGTGTTAACATGAATATATTACTTAAAATAGTAGCCCACGATCTCTGGGAGTAAGCTGTTCCACTGGTTGATTGTCCTCACTGTCAGGAAGTTTCTCCTTAATTCCAGGTTGCTTCTCTCTTTGATCAATTTCCAACCATTGTTTCTCGACCTTCATCTGGTGCTTTGGTGAATAACCTGGCCCCCTCTGCCTTGTGACAGCCCCTCAGATACAGGAACACTGCTATCATGTGTCCCCTATTTCTTCTTTTCTTTAGACTAGCCAAACCCAAGTCCTGTAGCTGTTCTTCGTATGTTTTAGTCTTCAGGCCTTTGATCACCTTAGTAGCTCTTCTCTGTTTTTTTTCCAAACTCTCAACATCTTTTTTGTGATGTAGTGACCAAAATTGGCCGCAGTATTCCAGGTGTGGTCTTACTAGGATTTTAAAAAGCGGTAATAATACTTTGCGTGATCTTGATTCTATGCCTCTGTTTATATAACCCAGGACTGTATTAGCTTTTTTGGTTGCTGCTGCACACTGCTGGTTCATTTATAAGGATATAAAAGAAGATAAAAACTTAGAAAAAACAGAGCTTGATAAGAACATGAATTCCATCAAAAACAAAACTCAATAATCTCATCTGTAACCTTCAGAATTGTTAATTCTCCACAATAAAAATATTCTGGAATAATTATTATAAGAAAAAGTCACAATTACAATTTAAACAGACAATCTAGAAATGATAAAAAATAAAAATAAGAATTTATACAGCCACCCTGAATTGCTTTGCAGAGTAAAATGGGTGGCATATAAAATTAATAAATTAGTGTATATAGTTCAAGTCCACGGCCTTATTAATAAATAGTAAATGGAGGATGTGTTTACCTCGAAATTAACATCCTGATAGAATTGGCAAGGCACACAAGATGCAGTAATTTTAAGAACATTTTCTCTGGCTTCATTCTGTAGAGTAAATCTTGGATGGCATGGATGCCACTTTTGTTTCACATATCCAATGATGTTACCTAGAGGTGCCTGTACTTCAAGCTAAAAGAGAGAGAGGGGGAAATCTCAGTTATCTAGCACAAAAGTAAACAAACAAGATTTCATTCATTCAGTCAAAATCAGTGCACTCTAATACTGAAGGTTAAAATAAGACTTGAGGATCTTATTTGACAAAAATAATAGATGATAGAGACAAAACAGAAGTATATCTGAGAAGGTCAATTCCTTTCTTAGCCTTAAGTATCTTCCCATCCTTCCCTTCTAACCCCCAAAAAGGTTCTTGAGGTCTTGCCTTCCTGTAGTAGGAATATGTCTGTCTTCCAGTGCAATATAAAGAGGAGAGATGCTGAAACAAATTCTCAATATACACATACCAAATGATCTAAACTTAGTTTCCAAAGTACTTAGGAATTGTGCTTGGATGTTAATACTTTAGATTTGTTTACTCTCAAACCCTCATTCATGTATTGCAACTGCCATGCTGGAAAGGCCACTTTAATATGTTTTTCCATAAGGATGAATGTATCCATTTGGATGATGTGGTTTACATTTGGATACTTGGCAACTGTCTCATATTTATGATGGTTGCTGAGTCCCAGGGTCATGTGGTCCCCTTTTGCAACCTTCTGATAAGCGAAGTCACTTAACAACTGTGTTATTAATTTAACAACTGTAGTGATTCACTTAATAAATGTGGCAAAAAAGTTGTAAAATGGGACAAAGGTCACTTAACACATTTCTCACTTATCAAGATAAATTTTGGGCTCAATTATGGTCTTAAGTCAAGGACAGGACAAATGGTTGTCTAATATTTTCTTGAAAACCTCCAACAATGGAGCACCCACAACTCTGGAAAACAAGTTGTTCCACTGATTAATCAGGTTCGCTATCAGGAAATCCCTCTGTTTTGCCTCCACCTCTCCATTGCATCTTGTCCTGCCTTTGGGTGCTATGGAGAATAAATCAATGATCTTTTCCTTCTGATAGCCCTTCAAGATTTAGAAGACTGCTCTAATGTCTCCCCTAAGCCTTCTCTTCATTAGCTTAAACATACCTGTTTGCTTAGCCATTCATCATACAATTTAGCTTCCTGACCCTCTCATCATCTTTGTTGCTCTTCTCTGCACTCTTTCTAAGGCCTAACATCTTTTTTGTATCATAGTGAACAGAACTGGATGCAGTATTCCAAATGTGGTCTCACTAGTGCAGTATAAAGTAGCTATCATTTCCTGTGATCTTGATGCTATTGTTCTGTTGAGGGAGCCTAGGACTGTGTTGGCTGTTTTGGCAGTAGAAGCACATTGCTGACTGACTGACTGACTGAAGGAATTTGATTATCTCACAAGTTTTATTTTAAAAATAGTTTTATTCTTTCTGTTATATGTATAACATATGTGTCATACGTAGTCTGGTATAACAGGTACCCTTTTGCCTATCAGTTGATAGGAGAGTCATGCTTTAAGACAGAGGTCTCCAACCTTTCCAGGCTCACAGCCCGGAGCAGTTCCCAAACTGGTGCACACGTGTTTATGCAAACGGGGCCACACGCACTGGTGCGGCACAAGCGGCCCCATTTGTGCATGCGGCATGTTCTGGTGCCATGCACATGCGCAAATGGCTGTGCACCCCGTGGCAGCTAGCAGACCCGTTTCTGCCCATGCACATGCATAAACGGGGCCATGGATTCCACCGCAAGTGGGAATGCATGCCCAAATGTGCGTGCACTGGTCACCCATTTCTGCAGCCTGCTGGCTAAGAGCCCACAGCCGATCCTGGGCCGTGGCCCATAGGTTGCGGACCCCTGCTTTAAGGCAAAAGGGTTGCTTGGAGCAAGATAAATCTGTGTTCATGTGGAAATAAACTGAAGAGAGTTGTAACTATCACTTGAAAAGGATAATGTAACTTCAGAACAAAAAAGAGTCCTGCCCTTACACAATAGAAGGATCTGTTTATTACAGATGCAATCATTAGTAGCTAAATTTAATTTTTCCTCAAATGAAGGAGGGCACTAATTATTGCTTGGTAACAGAATACTATTTGTTTTCCTGATATGCTGCAATGTCCACAATTATTCTCACATTTGATGAAAGAGTATAACATTAGCTACATCACCATTCTGCAATGTCTTTCTTCTTGAAAATTTAACTGTCTTCCCTGATGATAGGTTTCTGGTAATTCAAAAGCTTACAAATGCTTTTGCAAATATTTATTTGGTCTATCTAGTTGTTAGAAAGCTTCCCAATTGAAACAAAGCTGTAAAATCAATCCTCTGAAATACTCAAAACAAAAGACACAAGTTGTTGGAAGTTGCACTAGAAAGAATTCATAACAACTGTTCTCTTGATGATAAAGAAACGATTTAACTGAAAGAATCAAAAGTTGGGCACAGGAAAGAAAAGTTGGTTTACCTCTTGTAGGCAACAAATACAAGGGCAACAGCAAATGGAGCAATGGTAATCCCTGGACAATTGCATGACTGGTTGGTTTGTACTGTCAAAGAGTTTTATGGTAAACGATCTCAAAGGGCCGTAACAGTTCAAGTTGAAGTCATCGTTTTCTTCAGCTGCAAAGTATACCCAATGCCCCATGGCATTTTTTATTTCATACTTATTACAAGTTTCCAAGCCACTTATCACTGAAAAAGAAGTAAAAGCATAACAATTAAGTGACTCTAAATGTTTATCATTAATATGACCTGAGAAAAAAAGAGAAATCAGCTTCAGCCTCTAAAATGCAGTTCCATAACACATGAGACAGTATTGCTTCATCCAATTACATCAGCCGGTTCTATCTGGTCAGGCAGGAAAGGTATATTGTGGATCCCATCAGTCAAAGAATTCTAACTGGCAGGGTTCTGTAAGAGCACCTTCTCTGCCATTGCCTTCTCCCCTGGGACACTTCCCCCCATCAAGGTGAGGCAGGCTCCCACTCTCTGGCGTTTCAGAAAGGTGTGGAAACATGGTTCTATGGGCTTGTTTGGGACACACAGAGGAGCATGCAGCCATAGGGCTGGTTTGTGCCCTGAAAATCTTCCTCCTGTCTTTTAATTAATGTTAATATTGAATTTTAATCATCCTTGCCTCTCCTTACATTTTATATAACATTTTTATGTTTTAATGTTTTTATCTGTATACCTTTCAGAATCCCTTGGTGAGGGGCATGAGTGGTTTCAAAATTTGATAAATAAAAATAAATTAAATTGCCATCCTTACTGCTCTCCCCTAGCACCTAACAAGTTTACACTCACATTTGTTTATTTTTTATTTATCACATTTTTATGACCATCCATCATACTTGCATGACTCTGGGCTATTTATAAATAAACTCTGTCTCCAGTATAATCTTAAAAAGAATAAAGTCAGACATGACTAAACAAATCAATTTTGCCATGCACCCTTCCCTAATTTTATATCTAAATAATTATAAGACCTCAAATAATTTAATGACTAAGTATTATTGTGGATCATAAAGAGCAATGGTGGCAAACCTATGGCATGGGTGCCAGAGGCGGCATTCAGAGCCCTCTCTATGGGCACGTGCGCCGTCGCCCCAGTCCTAGTCCTTCAGCTGGGTTTTATAAAACCTTTTCGCTTTAGGTCTCTGCCACCGTGTAAAAAAAAAAAAAGGTCCAATCAATCAGTCAATTTCAACTTCTCGCAGGAAAAGAAAAGATCTTGCAAAGTTGGAATTGATTGATTGAACTTTTTAGTCCCACCCAGTCTGCCGTTACTATCACAGCCACGCCCACCCACTGGGCCACACCCATCCAATGGGCCACACCTACCCGGCACCCAATGATGTATAAGTGGGTTTTGGGTTGTAGTTTGGGCACTCGGTCTCTAAAAGGTTCGCCATCACTGATATAGAGAGTGCACAGTCAATAAATATCAATGAATAAATATTTCAGATTTACAAAACTGTATCTTTTCTTAATCCCCAGTAATTATTGAAACAATAAAGCAACATACATACTTTCCATGAGCTCAATCTGCTGTTCAATTATTATCTGATCAAGCTGTTGAAATCATAAAAAATAAATAAAACACAAAGAAATATTAACAAACATTAAATGACCAATTATCCTATGACTATAAATATTTTCAAAAGCATTAATAACTCTGCCATTTTATTAGTGTTATTTATTCAGATTATGTAATACATGCTATAGCCAGGAAGAAATATTACCTATTTTGTTGGTGTTTTTTTCTTTCCCCCAAACAAAGGATAGAATGGCAGCACATGTCAAAACATATTTCTGGATTATTTATTCAGTCCTTAATTGCTGTTCCACATTCGTTATATTTAAATAAATTCTTGAAGATACATATCAAAAATACTCAAAACTGCATGCATGGAAGAGAAGTTAACTTTTGGTGTCAGAATCTGTTATCTCTGAGTAATGATAGGATTTCAATACCCTGACTGGATCTACTTCCAGTGCTTGGCCTAAACATAATTTTAACTTATCTTCTGATTTTTCTACAATGCATCATCAAAAGAATTCTGTGCACTATGAGCAATTTCAAGAATAATTATTGTGCCAAGAGATAATCTACAGTACCAATCTTTGCCAAAAGAGATTGTTTTTCCAGGTCTGCTGTCAATTGGAATTGCTCTTCCACTTGCACAAAGGTTTAAATTGCTACCGTGTTTCCCTGAAAGTAAGACACTGTCTTATATTATTTTTGCCTCCAAAAGAGGCATTAGGTCTTATATATATAATTTATTTTGCGGTCACAGACCAAAATGCAAGTGCAACAAAAGAAAACACAAGAAAAATATAATCACAAACAATTAACACCAGAAGCCTTGGCTAAAGGGAATTACAACGTTCTCCCCTAATAGTTACAGCTCTTAAAAGAAATTTAGAAACCTGAAAAGTAATATAGGAGGAGCCATCCCCTAGAAAATATAAGACCAAATTACTAACCTTAGAACCAGAGGGATCAATTCCAAGGAAAGACAATAATTTAATTCTGACTGTGTTATACATAGGGCAGTATGATAAGACATGCTCCACAGTTTCAACTTCAGCCCTATCACAGGGCATAGTCGCTCACTAAACAGAAGCCTCTTGAATCGAGTAGTGCTGAAGGCAAGACATTGAAACGGGCTAGGTAAAAGACTCTTCTATACTTGGGGATGGTTAGAGTATAGAAATATGAAGCCATCCTCAACCCATAATTATTAGAATGGCTGAAAATCAAAGGGGAGCAGGGTTTTTTGGCTCTGGCTCTTAAGTATTGCAAATCTATGTCCACAAACCATTGGACTACCCTAAACTGGACGTCCTTGAGACCATAATCTCCCAGAGCATCCCCCGTAAAACCTAGTAAGTGGAGTTTCTTCATCAGCTCCCTCTCCCAACGAGAAGTATGAGAATCAGCAAACACCAGGGAGTGGTAGCTACCAGGGACTGCCGAAAAGAGTACCCAAAACCACCATTTAAAGGTGTTAATCCACACCATGCATTCGACTGAACAAATGCCCAGTTCCAGGTACATCTAAGCAAATCCAACACAGGGAGGAAGACCCAGAAGTTTCCTAAGAAAAACAGTCTGGGTTCTTTCAATACAATCCTTGAAGCCTCGTATCTGTATGGAAATTCCATAAAGAATTTGGGCCAGGGTTTTGGCTTTATATATACGCAGAGCAGAAGGAGTAAATTGGCCTCCTTGTATAAAAAAGAATCTTATAATCTGCTGATGGCTACAGAAGGCCGAATTCAGCACCTCGTTCGATGTTTAGTCCAAGCACCAGTATTCTGAAATTGAATACCTAAACACTTAAAATGAAAAACCTGCCTAACAACATTACCATTGATAGCCCAGTTGTATGATTTCCATGCTCTAGAGAACACCAATACTTTGGATTTGTCATAATTAATAGACAAATGGTTCTCAGCACAGTAAGACCCAAATGCAGAAAGTAATCTTTTTAGACCGAGCCTTGATTGTGATAGAAGGACCGCATCGTCAGCATAAAAAAGAAGTGGAATCTTCGTATTTAACAACTTTGGGGCATGGGACTCAATGCGTGCAATGTAAGAGGCCAGGTCGGATAGCAATAAATTAAACAGAAGAGTGGCCAGGACACAACCCTGCCTAACTCCGCTCTCAATCGGGATTGCATTTGAAAGTTCTCCCTGCAAGCCGCACCTAATCTGGCTAGAGGTCTGATTATACAAAGATCTAATTAGGAACAAAAGACGTCTGTCAACAGAACTTTTGTGCAATTTTGACCATAACAGTTCCCTAGGGACTGAGTCAAACGCTGCCTTTAAATCAATAAAAGTAGTAAAGAGTTTGCCACCTGGTGTAATAGCGTATTTGACATTAGGTCTTAATTTTGGGGATGTCTTATAGTTTTCATGACACTTGCCTTGCCTCGCGGCAGCAGCACCAACAGCCCCACCCAGCAACTTGCATGACTGCCAGTCTACTTCTGCTATGGCCGCTTGCAGCAGGAGGCACGCAGCACATTGTGCCACTGCCCACGAGCCTCGCACCCACTTACTGGTATTTCAGCCTACCCTACCAGGCCATTCCTTGATCGGCAGCCTTTCACTTATCTCCCGAACTGGACTGCCATGGTATGGCGGAACATTTCGCGAGAAGTTGGAAGGTCTGACTGACCTTTTTTTAGTCTCACAAACTCCGTTTCCCTGCAGCAGAAGAGAAATGTGCCAGAGCTGGAAAGGTTAGTGTTGAGTCCTTGGCGGAAAGCAGACACGAGAAGCAGTTGAAGTTCTCAGTTTCCTTTATTCAGCGTTCAGCTTACAAGTAGATGGCTTCAGCAGCTCCCAAAACCTCCCAGCTTCTTATATAGACATTTCCCGGGTAAATGCGATACTTTTCCCGCGCCAGCACCCACGCATGCGCACGGCGCTGGCGACAGCCTGTCTGGTCCCGGGCAGCTTTGCACCTGCCCGGGACTGCCTGCAAACGCCCGAGCCGTTTGCAAGGCTCGGGACATAACACCCCTTTCCCCCGGGCTAAAACTACTACCAACATATAATCATTTATTTTATGCAGTGTTCTGCTTCTCAGTGCTCCTATCGTTACCTGGCTTTTGTTTAGCCAGCAATGTTATGTAATCCTCTACGTATTTAGGAGACTTCTTTGCTCTCTGTGACCTTCTCAGCTCTGGGTTACTAGCATGAGTTCCCTGACTGGAGGGAGATGTGAGCCTGTTCTCCTTATTTTGCCTTGGTGCCTTCCAAGGACTGTGCCCCGCTGCCTGGCCTGCTTGCTCGCCCACCGGGCTCGTCAGGCCAGGGCTTCTGTCACTTGTGACCTGGTTGACCTGCCTAGCTGTAGACCCTCGGGCCCCTTGAAGTGATAGCCACTGCTGGGCGTCTCTGTTGAACCTCCTAGGTCCGTCCAAGACCTGTCAGGAGGCTGTCCATTCCCTGAACCCCGTTCTGTGTCCGGGCTTGTGTGGGTTTCTGTACTTTCCCAAAACTCAGTTACTCCCTGATTTGGGCTAGAGGTGTTGTAGTCGGGACTTGGTTCCTCGACCACCTCCCTGTATGTTTGACCCCCTGTAGGATTTGGGGTAAGGTCAGGCCAACCTTGGGGATTGTGTGCCAGCTCTCTTGCGGGGAATGATTTGTTGGGATGCCCCCGGGTATCCTCCGTGACTGGAGTGCTGTGTGATGTGTGTGGAAAGTGAGTATGCCCCCGGGGTGACTCCCTGGCTGGAGTAGGCGTGGATGCCTGGTAGTTAGGTAGGCTCATAGAATTCTTGTTCGGAGCTCTCGCGGAACCCTGGGATGGGCCGTTTGTGGCTCCATCAGTGGAGATGGGCAGCAGCTCGTGCCCTTCCCTTTGCTCCAAAGGGTCCCCCTCCCCCCCTGGAAAAGACCCAGGAGTCTCATCTGAAAAGTCCCGCCTAGGGCGGAGTTGGTCGATGTGCTGACGCAGGACACGACCGTTGTCCAGGGCTAACTCGTAGGAGAGAGGACCTGTGACCCTGGAAATAGAAGCGGGGACCCATGTATGACCAGGCCCGTAATTGCGAGCCCAAACCGGGGCACCCACAAGTAGTTGTCTAGGTGCCCTACGGTGTGAGGTAGATAAAGGCAGTCTGTCCGGATGCAACCGGTCAAGTTTAGTAGTAAGTTGACGCCCCCAACGAAGTTCAGCTGGGCTTCTCCCTGTAGAAGTGGACGGTGTGGTGCGATAAGAAAGGAGAAAATCAGCCAACCTGTGATGCCAGTCCCCGTAGGTGAGTCTTTTCAATGCGTCCTTTGTGATGCGCACCATACGTTCAGCCATACCGTTGGTGGACGGGTGGAAGGGTGCAGACGTGGCATGACGAATCATGTTTGCCTGTAAGAAAGCTTGGAATTCGGAGGAAGTGAATTGAGGGCCGTTGTCAGACACAATGACATCTGGAAGCCCGTGTGCAGCAAAAATCCCCCTCAGTACCTGAATAGTCTTTGCAGTGGTGGTGGATGAGACAGGTACAACCTCAAGCCATTTTGAATGGCTGTCAACAAGGACCAAGAAGAACTGGCCCTGAAAGGGCCCAGCGTAGTCAATGTGCACCCTAGACCATGGGGACTGTGTTTCCTCCCATCTATGCACGGGAGCTTGGGGCATCTCTGGGCGAGATCGTTGGCACAGGTGGCATGCATGCACCTTAGCCTCAATATCTTTATCTAAACCAGGCCACCACAAGTGGCTGCGCGCAAGAGCCTTCATACGAACAATGCCAGGATGACCCTCGTGGAGGGATTCTAAGACCCTAGTCCTCATTGAGGTGGGAATGACAACTCTGTTTCCCCAAAGCAGACAACCCTGAGAAAGGGACAGCTCGTTCCTTTTGGACCAGAAACTCTGAAACTCAGGACTAGGGCAGTGCTCAGGCCAACCAGACAAAACCCAGGAATGGACACGTGAAAGTGTGTGATCTGTACCTGTTTCAGCGGCAACATCCCTGGCACTAAGAGGGAGCTCGGGCAAGGCTTGGATTGATAGAATGTTGACAGCTGGCGCAGGGTCAGCTTCTACTACTGGCAGAGGCAATCTACTGAGGCCATCAGCATGGCCCATTTCTTTTCCAGGCTTGTGGAGTAAAGAAAAATCATATGCAGACAAAAAAATAGACCACCTAAGCATTCTAGGGGAAATGATTTGGGGAGTCTGCTTACGTGTGGTAAACAGTCCCAGCAGAGGCTTATGGTCAGTGAAGACCGTGAAGTGCCTGCCATATAGAAAGTCATGGAATTTTTTAATTCCAGCAACAACAGCCAGAGCCTCCCTGTCTATCTGAGCGTAGTTGCGCTCAGCAGAAGACAATGTTCTGGAGTAATATGCAACAGGAACCTGAGTTCCATCAGACCTGAGGTGGCTCAGGACAGCTCCAACCCCGTAAGGGGACGCATCACAAGCGATGCACACAGGAAGGGACTCGTTGAAATGTGCAAGTACACTGTTAGAAGTGAGCAAGGCCTTGACTTCGTTAAAGCAGGCCTCATGCGTCTGTGACCACCGCCACACTGCTTGCTTGTCTAGTAGCCTGTGAAGAGGCTCAGCTACACTAGCTTTTTGTGGAAGAAAAGAATTGTAGAAATTCAGGAGGCCCAGGAAGGCCTGAAGTTCGGCCTTGGACTTTGGCCTAGGTGCTTCTAAAATAGCAGTTAGTTTGGATTCAGCAGGGTGAATCCCAGCAGCATCAATTTTGAACCCCAGAAATTCAGTAGAAGGCACCCCAATCTTGCATTTGTCTTTTTTGAGCTTGAGGCCTGATTTCCTGAATCTTAACAGAACAGCCCTTAGCCTTTCAGCTAGAATGTGTGTGGAGTCTCCTGCAATTAAGACATCATCAAAGTAGGGGCAAACCCCCGGTATGCCCCGCAGTGTGTTTTCCATTACGCTTTGGAAAATCCCAGGAGCGACATTCACTCCAAACTGCAGCCTTTTTACCTTAAAGGCTCCCCTGTGGGTCACAATAGTCTGAGCTATAGCAGCATCATCATCAACAGGCAGCTGTTGATATGCTTGAGCTAGGTCAAGCTTTGCAAAAACGCGCCCCCCCTTGAGGGAGGCCAGAATATGACTGACCACAGGAACAGGATAGGCATGTTGCTGCAATGCCTTATTCAGAGTGCATTTGTAGTCAGCACAGATGCGAATGTCCCCATTTGCCTTTAGAGGCGTGACAATGGGGGTCTCCCAAGGACTGGAATCAACAGGTTCTAGGATTCCCTGTTGAATCAGTTTGTCTAACTCAGTGTCAATTTTACTCTTTAAAGCAAAAGGGACCCTTCTTGCTTTAATTCTAATGGGAGTGACAGTGGGGTCTAGCTTTAAGGACACAGGGGGTCCTTTGAATGTGCCCAGCTGGGGGCTGAAAACATCTGCAAATTCTTTGCAGACTTCCTGTAGGTCGAGTGTTTGTAAACTGTTGAGTCCTGTGACGTGTATCCCCAGGGCCTCAAACCAATCGAGTCCTATGAGACTCGTTCGTTCACCCCCTACTACTAATAAGTCTAGTGGACCTTCAAAACTCTTGTATTGCACGTTAAGGGTGGCCTCCCCCTTAACACACACTCTTGAATTTTGAAAATCTGTTAACACAATGTCAGAAGGCCTTAACTTGGCCTGAGTTCCACTACCGGAACAAATCTTCCTAAATGTATGCAAGGAGATAATTGAAAAGGCAGACCCTGTGTCTAGTTCCACAGATAATGGAACCCCTTGTAGCTTCACCTTGAGTGACAGCTTTTTCTTAATGGGCTTGTGTGTGCCTGTCCTAAGGATGCTTCTTCGCGAAGCGCAAAACCCCACCCTATTCTGGCTGGGGAATCTGGTACCTTTCAGGCGCAGTTCTTCCTGAGGTTGTACCTTTCGTCGGCCCAGACACACAGCTGCAATGTGTCCTTGTTTGCCGCATGCCCGGCAGGTAGCGGAGCGGAACTTGCAGTCGGTTCTCCTGTGGCGACCTCCACAGCCGATGCACTTGAGCGGAGCTGAAGAGCTTCCCTTCTGATTTTCTTCCTTCGTGGGGTGGAGACGGTCGACTTCCTCATCCGGATCCTCCTCGGAGTTTCTTTGGACGTCTTCCTGGTGCACGGATGCAACCTCTGGACTGTTTCTGATCGGCCGCATGTTCTTGACAGCGCCGCCTGCTGCTTCTTCTGCGGTGACTTCCCTTAAGGCATCTTGGTAGGACAATTCTTCTTTAGCGAAAAGTCTCTGTTGTAGATCTCGATGCCTTAACCCGCACACGAATCGGTCCCTCAGTCGTTCTTCGAGGTCTTTGAACTCGCAGTGCTTGGCGGCCTTCCGTAATGCGGCGATGAATTCTTTGGCCGACTCACCGGGCCGTTGATCCCTCTGCTCTAAGGTGTGGCGCCATGCGATGACGGACATTTTGGGGTGGAAGTGCTCCTTCAGTAGCTTCTTCAGATCTGCGTAGCTGACAGACTCTACTGGAACAGGTGCTGCAAGGTTTTCTGCGATGTTGAAGGCGTCTTGACCGCAAACACAAAGCAGGGTGGCAGCCTTCAAGCTCTCTTCCCTCACTTGGTTTGCCTTGAAGTAGTTCTCCACCCTGGCTACGTATGACTCCCACCGCTCTGGATGTGAGACGTCGAATTCCGAAAGCCTTCCGATTTTCGCCATCTTCAGGAGACGGGTCTATCAGCCAGCCTACCCCCGAATGCGCACTGGATTGGCGGGTAGCTGCCGAGTCGACGCCGTTCCGCCGCTCAGGACTCACTTGGGTAAGCTTACACTTCTTCCTTTCCAGGCGGTGTAAGGCAATCCCATCCTCGTCGCCAGTGTTGAGTCCTTGGCGGAAAGCAGACACGAGAAGCAGTTGAAGTTCTCAGTTTTCTTTATTCTGCGTTCAGCTTACAAGTAGATGGCTTCAGCAGCTCCCAAAACCTCCCAGCTTCTTATATAGACATTTCCCGGGTAAATGCGATACTTTTCCCGCGCCAGCACCCGCGCATGCGCACGGCGCTGGCGACAGCCTGTCTGGTCCCGGGCAACTTTGCACCTGCCCGGGACTGCCTGCAAACGCCCGAGCCGTTTGCAAGGCTCGGGACATAACACCTAGCAGGTTAGCAAAGAAATGCTTTTGGGAAGAGGGAGGAGCTGCGCTGGGAGGAGAAGTGGCAGGAAATGGGTCTGCCATTTCCAGAAGGGAGAAGGAAGACACGGGGCAATGCAGGCAGCAAGCAATTGCTGTGCATCTCTACACAGAGCCACTGAGTTCTCCGTTTTCCATTCTCTGCGAGACAGGCGACAAAGGGCTGGCGGCGGCAGGCGGCTGGGAGAGTTGGCGGACGACAAAAAGGCGGTGGCTGCACCAGGACAGGTGATCTGCAAGGCAAAACTTAAAGAAAGCCCCTCCAGAAGTGCACAGCGGCAGTGGAGCCATTCATTGTCACTCCCCCCCTGGCTCCAAAATGATGGAGGGGAACTGGGCCTACCCCACCCATCCCATTCATCATAGCATGGCAGTCTGGCTCGGGAGGGAAGTAAAAGGTCAATCAATGGCCTGGCAGAGGGGCTGAAGTACCAGTAAGCGAGTGTGGGCCATGTGGGGCAGCTCCACCCCTCCCCCACCTGCCTTGCCTCATTGTGGCAGCAGTGGCATGATATGCCGCATGGCCTCCTGCCCCATTGCAGCAGCGAGGTGGGACAGAGTGGGCAGGGTCCTAGCTAGGGCTTATTTTTGAGTAGGGCTTATATTAGCCCCCCCCAAAAAAAATCAGGGTAGGTCTTAGTTTAGAGGAAGGGCTTATTTTCAGGAAAACACGGTAGTTGTTTATGTTGCAACTGCCTGTACAACTAAGTAGGCAAATCCTACATTGCCCATGTGTACATACTTAGAAATGTTAATGAATGAATAAATAAATAAATATTATTTATTTTTAATGCTCAGGGGTGCAAAACCAACAAATGGCAATATAAAAGCAATCCATCAATGATTTCTTTTAAAGTGAAGTGCCATGATCTGCCAAGCCCAAATGTGCTATAGTCTGGAGAGACATGTTACTCACAAAATCCATCAGCATGTTTTTGAACCTTAGAGGATTGGGATCGACTTAATGATTTAAAGGAAGTAGTTGGCAATTTAATATAAAAAAATATTCTAAGAAACTGAAAATAGCACAGCAAAAATACTTGATGGAGAGAATGCTTTCAGAATGAATATACATATTCTTTGATGTATGACCAAAATTGAGCTCAAAATTTCTGTTGCTAAGTGAAACATTTGTTAAGTGAGTTTTGCTCTCTGACCACCATTGTTAAATGAATGCCTCCACTTATTAAGTTAGTGACATGAATCTAGCTTCCCCTTGGTTTTGCTCGTCAGAATTTCTCAAAAGGCGATCACATGATCCCTGGACACTGCAACTGTCATAAATGTGAGTCAGTTGCCAAGCATCTGAATTTTGATCACGTGATGATGGGGATGCTACAATGGTCGTAAGTGTGAAAAATGGTCATAAATCACCTTTTCAGTGCCATTGTAACTTCAAACAGTCACTAAACAAACTATTGTAAATTAGGGACTGCCTATATGCTCCCTAGTTCAAAAATTAATTTAACATTTCACTGGTGACTGGCATTTGTGGGATCCCATTCTTCTCTGTAAAGGAACAAGAAAATAAACTGAAAATAAGTGTGATATACCTGGCTGAAATATTCCAATCCACGAGGGCACTTGGGGATTTGAGGTGGTGGTGGCATCCAGATGATGGGTGGCGGTGCATTTGCTTGAACTAAGAAAATTAAAGAGGATTTTAAAAAAAATAAACTTCAGACAGCTCTTTTGAATTTCAGACTGCTGAAAGCCCTATTCTAAAAACATGTAGTATCTGGATGTACTTTAGGATTTCATAAGTATCAATGAAGCACAGTAAAATTCTACATTATATACTGTTGATGCCAAGTTAACAATTAAATTAAAGTAGTTGCACTACTGGGAAAACATGTGCCTAGAATGAAGCACTCACACTTTCATTTCAACAAAGGGCAAAATATCCACTAGAGGGTGCAAAGGACTTGGTTGATGAAATTTGAAAGGAACTGCAACAAATATTTTGACAAATGAGGATACCTTATTGTTGTCATGTGTATTGGAGATCTCCAAAAGATTGAACTCTTTAGGGTTTAAATTAAATATATATCCCAATAAGTTGAGTTCGATTTCTAGGGACTTCATAGACATAACTGTGACATTTATTTTATAGCAATATCAAAGTGGTTTCCCATTGCTTTCTTCTGTGTTGGTTTTTCTTTTTCTGTTTTTCCTTCCTTGTCTCGCAGACAACTTTAATATTCCCATGTACAGTAGTGTCCCATTCACATACTAACTAGGCATGACTCTGCTTAGCTTCAAGTGCAGATGAAATCAGCCAGGTAATGGCACCAGCTGGAACATTTGAAAATCACTCAGAGTTTAATTAATAGAGACGTGCAGTGCTTTGGCTTCAATTCCCAAAAGATGTTTTGGAGTGTGAACATAGCACCTGTCTGCAATGCCTTAAAGCAATTACGTCTTTTCCTGGGATCACAATTCAGCTATTTTATAGAGATGCAGACAAGTGTAGTCATCGTACCCCTGAGCACATTATCACATCAACACATCATTCTATGATCCAGTTCAAAGCACTGCATAGTCCTACTGTGTACCACATTCAAAATGCTGTCTTCCAGAAGCACCTCTAAACCAGCTGTGCCTTGTTATGTAATTGCATTAAAAACTATTCCTGTGCACAACTTATCTGGTAGCCTCTGCATAAATACTATCTTCTCATGTACATAGAACAGCAAATAAGCAATTGCTCGAATGCTTCAAAAGGAGGTACTTTGTCAAACTAATACTTTGGATAGCCCTCAATAAATGATTATATTATTTTTTTTCTAAAATATATTTAGTAGAGAAAGGATTCTTTGAAGTGAAGATTGATAAATATGCACTGTTTTATCACTTCCCTAAAGTAGTTATATTTTTTCTGGACTCACACAGTAGCTCCCAGTTCCAGGAAAAATGCATCTGAGATCAGCTTCTTACCATAGACCCGTACCTGTTTGGAAGCATCTTCTCATTCCCTATTGGTGTCTCCTTATCTCAACTTTCATTTTCCTAGGATCATATGGCTATTACATGAATCCAGGAAAAGACTTGGCTTCTTAAATGTGGCCCTACAGCTATAACATCTGTGTCTACCCCTGCACCAAAGATCTGAAACACAGTCCACCTTTATTATTTGTGACTATACATTTTAAGCAAGAAGGTTTATTACTTCCTGGGGTGGAGATCAGCCACTCTTTATGTTTCAAGCTGTAGCCTAACATGGATCTATCAGGTAAAAAAAATATCTTTTACATTTCTGAACAGATCAAAGGTCTAGCTAGGCTAGACATGTCAAACACAAGGTCCGTGGGCGACATGCGGCTCGCAAAGTGGTTTCATTTGGCCTGCGAAGCCATCCTGGAAACAGTAAGGAACGGCCCCTGCTGCCTTGGCCCTGGCCCAGGCCGGCCGGGAGCCAATGTACAGTTTTGTGGTGGCCATCTATGCTGAAACACATTCAGTCTTAGCTCCACAAGGCCATCTGGAAACAGCGAGGAACCAACCTCTGCGGCGTTGGCCTCACCCCATGAGTGCATGCTGGGGAAGTCTCACCCTATGAGAGGAATGAAGAAATGCACCATCGCTGGAAATGGCCAGCAAATGGCCCTCGCCTACTTCACATATCTGGCTTGATGGGCTCTGGAGGAGGGGTTTCAGCAGGCAGTGGGGCACTTTCCTCACAGCACTGAGAGGCTGAGCTGGGCAGCGCAAATCCAAAAAGAAGTGTGACGCCCAGCCCCCAGCCTGCCCGGTTTCAGCGATGGTGCATTTCTTCATTCCTCACGAATGGTGACCTCCCCAGCTGCATTTCTTGCCTGTTTTTCTCCCTCTCTCATCTAAAATATTTTCACACTACTCTGTACTTAGAAAGGAAGGAAAGAAGGAAAGAAGGAGAGATAGTGTCTGAGGGAAGTCCTGCCTTAGTCCTGCCCTGCTGCCCTTTCACCGTCCCCTTGCCCCCTCCTCCTGGCCTATCCTGGGGGTCTCCCATCCTATTGCTAAGGAAGCTTTGGAATCAAAGCCGGGTCTCCTCCCATGGAGAGGGAATGGGCCTTCCTCTGACTTTGCCCTTGTACCCATCAATCTGGATAAGGAGAGCAAGCACAGCAGCAGCAGCCTTGAGGAGGAGTTAAGTGCAGGTGGGCGCCCCCTTGGGGAGTGGAGCTGGGCTTGGTGCCACGGGTGCTCGAGGGCAGGCTGGGCATTTGCCCTTTGCTGTCCAGTGCTCCAGGCAGCCCGCCCGCACCACCATCCAACCCCCCCCCACATGGCCTGAGAGGAACAGTGAGGCTCCTCCAGTGGACCATACCTTGGCACTTGCCCTGGTTCCACCCCCTTCTGCCAAAGACCCTCATATCTGTCCCACTCTTGCCCAGGTGCTCACAGGCACCCTTGATGTTAAAGATGTAGAGCTGGCCATGCCCACCCAGTAGGCCACACCCACTCTACCCATGCCTACCCAGTAGGCCACACCCACCCTGGCCACGCCCCTGAAGGCAACCACAATGCTGATGCGGCCCGCAATGAAATTGAGTTTGACAGACCTGGGCTAGGCCTTCTGGACGTTAGAAATTGGTGGAATATTTTGGAATATGTGATGGGTTTACTACATTGTTGTTCTTTTTAATTTGTCCTAATTTGGTTTTGTTGTTTGTTACTTCTTATTATACTGTTCCTATATGGTGCCCATTATCAGACATATAAAATTGAATCAATTTTCTATTACCTGGAACGGCAAGCCCATATTGAGGATATTGGACTTGTGGAACTGAATAAGCTGGGCCTGAATATTCTGGAGGCGATGATGTGGGCTTAGTTTCATTTGCTGGAAGAGAAAGGAATGCAGATATGCAGTCTTATATGTATGCCTTGCATAAATTACATAAATAAATTGCATTTTATGCCCTATTTTCCTAGAAGTGGATGTACAATAGACTGAATTTTGCCAGTGTTTTAAGGATTATTTTGAATGAATCTATTCATGTTTATATATATGAAATCAAAATATATACATTACATTTCCAAACATGTAAAATAAAATGCAAATGTTTATCAGTGAAAAATCTTATATATAAATAGTTTTTTTAAACATGCTAATCTATTGCATTATTCACACTACAGCTAGTCCTTGTTCAACTATGGCAGTTTAGACTGGCAACTCCACTGTTAAGTGATACACACATAAAGCGCAATGTCACATGACTGTGCCAACTTACAATGGCAGTTGCAGAAGTTCCAGTTGGTGTTGGAGGATTCCTGCATGGTCACAGCATCCTGCAGTCATAAGATTACCATTTGCAAACCATCTGCTGCCTTTTCCATTGACTTTGCTTCTTGGAAGCTGTCACTGATGGTTAAAAATTGTGATACTGTGACTGGGGGATGCTGTGACATTGTAACTGTGATATGGCTGCCAAGAATGCAAATTGTGATCATATGACACTTGTGTTTAAACTATCTCAGGGAATGTACATACATATATATGTATTAGGAGCAGTTCAGTGATGGGATTCAAATATGTGAACAACCAGTTCTCTGTGTGGATGCTGTTTCTGGAAGTCTATTCTGGGCCTGGGCAACAAAAAATTAGCTACCGGTTCTGCTGAACTGGTGCAAACCGGCTGAATTCTACCACTGGAGCAGTTACATATAAATGTCAAGTCAATAGCAGGATCTGGTTTGTTTTTGCTTTCATGGACCTTTTCTTAAGAAAATCGATTCAAAATCTGTTTGTTCATTGAGTAATTCATCAGGTAACAAAGTTATTTTTCCAGTCTGGAAACTGCCTCTGCAGACATCCCTGGCTTTACTAAAGAAATACATTGTTGTTTATATTCATTTATAAACTTGAGCACTTCCCATTCTCTCACACATATACAGACACAAGTATGTTACTTACACATTTCCATCATCTTTTATTTAGTCTTATCTGAAAAACAAGACATTCCTTTTATAATGTAAACACATTGTTTCAGATTCTTCCATTTGTTTTTTAAGTTCATAGATAAAACTAAACAGACTTGGTTGACCAACTTAATGAAGAAGTCAATATAGGCTTTCAAAAGACCCCAATAAGCAGTAAATAAAATTAAATATGATCTCTGAAAAAAATTCTAATGTGATATATTTTTAGTAAATATGGACATTGTTTAAAGGCACATTCCATTTCCATTACAAGCTTCTGGGCTCCAAATTTTGTACTTTCATGGAGAATCCAATAGTCTATTCCATGTTTCCTTGAATTTTACCACATTGCTAGTGTTTCAGAATTATCATTTTTGTGTATGCATGTTCCAACTCTAATTCCATTATGATACTGATTTTTCTAATCTAACAAAGTGGCATTTTTGTGTATGCATGTTCCAACTCTAATTCCATTATGATACTGATTTTTCTAATCTAATAAATCACATATCCTTATTTCATACTAAAACAGTATTTTCTTCTAGTTAGTTATCTTATAGCGTAACAATAAACCGCAATAATGTACTATTGGTTCTTCCACATAAAAGACCATTAAGCTCTGTTAATTTCAAAATGTGTTTGAGATGCTCTGTGTTTCAAGAAAGTTTTCTAAATTGCATGGAAGTAGTTTTATTTTATTTTGCTCCAAATGATACATTTCCAAGACAAGATTTGGCTCATAATTTTAAAAAGGACATATCTTTCACATAGTGTAATATGATGCAGAGAAACATTACTATCTGCAGAGTCACATTCTCTTTTAAAAAAGAAAGCAAAATACATATAATAATAATAATAATAGTAATAATAATAGTAATAATAATAATAAAAAAGTTGGAAGGGACCTTCGAGGTCATCAAGTCCAACCCCCTGCTCAGGCAGGAACCCTACACCATTTCAGACAAATGGCTCTCCTGTCTCTTCTTAAAAACTTCCAGTGTTGGAGCATTCACTGCTTCTGGATGCAGGTGTTCCATTGGTTAATTGTTCTAACTGTCAGGAAGTTTCTCCTTAGTTCTAAGTTGCTTCTGTCCTTGATCAGTTTCCATCCGTTGCTTCTCATCCTGCCTTCAGGCGCCTTGGAGAATAGCTTGACTCCCTCTTCTTTGTGGCAGCCCCTGAGATATTGGAACACTGCTATCATATCCCCCCCAAGTCCTTCTCTTCGTTAAACTAGACATACCCAATTCCAGACATACCCAATTATGTTTAAGAACATAAGTATGAAAAGGGTACTGTTTCCTATGTATGCTTAAAAGTATAATTTAACTTGAAAGAGTTATGAAAAGTCACTTAACATTTATGTATTAAAGTCTCCTAAATTTGGATAACTTCTAGATGTGTTGGCTTCAGTTCCAAAAAATTAGCTATAAGGATTGTGTAAAACATTCAAAAGAAGTGTTTTGCAACCACACATCTGGAATACTCTGAATCATTGATTTGGGAAAGATACCTGAATCAAGATGGATTGCTCTAAAAAATTCTGTTTCCAAATTGTTCAGTTTTACTGTAAATAAATATTAGCAATAAATAAGATTAGCCAGAGTAACTACATTGTTGTTGTTGGGGGTTGTTTTTTTTTTTTTAGGTTCTGATTCTTGCCATGTTCTTTCTGGATGGATGGATGGTTGGATAGATATTTTATTAATTGGTTAAACTTCTGGAAAAGCCACAGTATATTCTGAAGACAGCAAAGGCTCAGTAGCCCAGGTGCCAACAGGTGCCCTTAGGAAATGAGCAAACATTCTGAGTGTCAATAAGTCTGGCCTAAAAATGAAGAATAGTATTGTCACAAATGAGAATTCTCTCAGGTAGAAAGAGGCCCTGATTACAAAAGCAGAACAGGGAGGCTGCAGTTGGAAGGCTGGGCTGTTCACCCATAAGTCTATCTCTGGAGCCCTTCATCTAATAGTGCTTATACTCAGTTTCAGAGTGCTGATTGAAAAGCATGAATCTGGATTGTTCTGGAAGCTTCTAGAAGTACAGTTTCTGCCTTGATGTAGTCAATGGTTTGCTGACCAGGATTTAGGGGACAGTATTAATATACAGATGGCCCCTCTGTCTCTGGTCACTTGTAGTTCTGGATGCAGGGTCATGAAACCCAATGTCCTAACCCACCCAAAAAACATACAATATCTTTAGGGAAACACCTGAATGGGAACATGTTTAGCTACTTCTGCGTTCTCCCTTCTTATCTACAGTGTACCAGACTTACTGGGTGAAATCTTTATCTTATGTGTGTTAGCTTTGCTAGATGGGTTAATTATGTAATTATACAGAATAAATACAAGGATTTCTTGTCATTCGTTGCTCCCCTCATTTAGAGGAGTCCGTCTCTATTCAGCTGAATAAAAACGTAAAACTTAAAGGCACCTTCTGGTTTCTTGTATTCTTTATTAAGCAAAACCTCAGAACCTGCATATCAGGTTCTCAACCTTTTCTTCACCATGGACCACCTTTTGGGGCCATGGACCATGGGCATGACCTCCAAAATATAACTCAACATTTAAATCATAACATTTCTTCAAGCTTTCGTGGACCCCCTGTGATTACATCACAGCACCCCAGAGGTCCGCAGACTAAGAACCACTAATGTAAGGGTTTCAACATGTTGGTGAGAAAGGTTAGCTTTCCTCCTTTGTCCTATTAATTAATTAATTAGTAATTTCTATATCTGTCCAACTCAACCAAGTAATTCAATATTTGTAAAAGTAGGGGGAAATTTTCTGCTGTCTCTATTGAGAATTTAGAGGATTTTTTTTTCTGATAACAATTTTTAAATAACTGATTAAGTATTTAGTAACTATGTAGAACAGAAGTTCCCAACTTTTGGGGCACCAGGGACCGGTTCTGTGGAGAAAGGTTTTTCCACAGACCAGAGAGTGAGTGGTTTTGTGTGCATTCTGCAGATGGGGCTTTGCTTGTTTGTGCGGACCGGTTGCTGGCATGCCGCAGCCTGGTACTGGTCCATGGACTGGGGATTGGGGACCCCGATGTAAAACACATATTGTTTTGTTTTTTTTAAAAAATGAAAATCTTCTGTAAGTTGGTTCCACAGTAATAATCAGTTTAGTGTTCCAGCCCACTCTCCCTTGTGGTCACAGGCTACAATGCAGGGATCATGAGATTGTTAATAGTTAACATATGTTTTGTTTTGAGAGAACACTGGTGGGTAATTTCATTCTTATCTATTATTAAATTAGATACATTTTCTCTCTCTTTTTTAATCTTATTAGGCCACTTTGTGGAAATACATTATGTCTCTAGTTAATATGATCAGATAATGTACTGTATGGGACATTACTGCCTGGTAGTTGACAATGGATACTATAGCTTTGCACATATCTAGATTTGAACAACCAAATGTAATTTGAAGTCTCGATGGGTATGCATTTTCACTTTCGATGAATATACATTTTCATTTTCAGCTAAATGTGTCTGTTCTTGAGATGCTATGTCAGTCACAAAGGCTGCCCCTCAATCCTGGGATAAGACAAGACTGTTCAAAACTTACAAACATTTAGCAACCATCTAAAGTTACAATGATATTTTAAACAGTGACTTACCACTGGTCCCTTTCACTTATTTTCATTGCAGAATCCCCATGGTCACATGATCAAAATTCGGACACTTGGCAACCCGCATGTATTTACAATGGTTGCATTATCCTATGTCTGCCATTTGTGACCTTCTTAGACAACTTCCAACAATCAAGTCAATGGGAAATCAAATTCACTTAATGACTGCATTATTTACTTAACAGCTGCAGTAATTCACTTCAAAACTATAGCAAAATAAATCATAAAAGCAGATGTAGCTCACTTAACAACCACCTTGCTTAGCAATAAAAATTCTGGTTCTAGTTGAAGTGTAAATCAAGGACTACCTGTATTCCCAACAGTCCTATATGGGTGCTCATTCATGCTTCAAGTCACATTTTACCCTTCAATTCTGAATCACTGAATAATTGTAATCTGCATTTCAAACACTGCTGAAATCACTGGGGATTGAGATTTTTTTTTTTTTGTAATTGAATGTAAATTATTAGTTTATTGAACTGGATAGGGGTCAATCTAAAGAGCTATGCCCTATGCTCCATGTGTGTCCCATATGTTGGCTTATAAGATATCTCTAGATGAGAAATCATTGATTGCATAGACAACACTAACATCCTTGTCGTAAAAACTGAGCTTCACTTGTACATGAGGAATACTGGACAACATGTGCAAAAAATTATTAGTTCTGAGCTTAACATTAATAGGAAATGCCGTATATGCCACAAATACTTCTAATATGGTTAATGTAATCTAATTGCCATCCTATTAAAAAGCTTTATAAGAAATCAGATTTGATCAAACCGTAATAGTTATTTGGAAGTCTGCAACTAGGAACATAAGAAAAGTTAAGTGTTTTCAAGAAAAGAGTAATGAATAAAATGAATTAGTGATAGAAAGCAGGTATGCTTTTTGCACCAGATGTAATAGATGTAATGCACCAGAATGAAGATGGTCTAAACTTGTCAATGCACTGCACGGCCTTCCTTATACAGAAGCTGTGTGCTACTATTTCAGAAGTAGGCGCCATTTTGGAAGTTACCACAATTCTTGAGTTGCAAGAATTATGATTGTTTCTGGGATCATTGTATAGGAAGGCTGCATGGCACATCAGCTGCTTTTCCTGGAAAAACAAATTTCAGAAAAAATAAATGGAGTGGGACATGATGGGGCATGGGAGGCCCAAAGGTGTGGGTCCCAGCAGAGCAGGAAGCAGGTCCAAGGCCTGAGGGGACCCAGCTGGATGGGAAATGCACCCAAGGAATAACTACAATGTCCTTAGTGTTTGTCATAAGGGCAGGCACGTTGCCAAGTGGCCAAATTTTATTCATGTGAACCCAGGGGTATTGCAGGTGCCATAACCTCATGTATAGATCATAAGCCCCGTCGTTCAGCCATTGTAATTTTGAATCAACTAATGAATGGTAGCAATTCAAGGATTATCTGTACTGATTAAATATTATTTTGTCTAAGCATTTTTGTGGAATTGCCTTATTTAACTTATGTCTTAATTGGGCTCAGAGCAGCATATATATATTCCAAATTTGGTAAAAATAGAACATACAATACACATTACAATAAATAGCAGACCCACAATTCATAAAGTGCACAATATACTGTACAGCTTACCTTCTTTAAACCTTGGCTAGTTCAGGACCCCCTGCTCTCCCTCCTGGTCTGAGACTGCAGGACAAACCACCGCTATAATTTTTCCCAGGTATGTGAATTCAGATTGTATAGAAGAGATTTCTCAATTGTTTAGCACTGAAAAGGCTTTCTTTTTTCAAGCCAGTGGAATATCTCAGCAAGTTTACACTTTGCATTTACCAAAATAGGATCCCTGTTAAAACTAGCTGTAGTGCATAATAATAAACCTACAAACAGCTTAGCATTTATCTTCTACACTGTTCTTTGTTATAAAATTGTGTCCACAAGCTTCACCTGTTGCAGTTTACAAAGCAACCATAGTTTCCTAGGTTTGGGAAACAAATGCTTTCAGCATGTTTAATTTGGAATTTTAAGGGGGGTCCTTGGTGCTCTCTGAGCTTCCTTGTTTTCTTGCAGACATTTCATTACCCTAACTCAGCGGTTCTCAACCTGTGGGTCGCGACCCCATTTGCGGTCGAACGACCATTTCACGGGGGTCACCAAACAATGCAGTCCGCCATTTTCCCCCCTTTTCCTTAGCTGTGCTACTCCCTTTTATTCTATTGGCTTTTGAAAGCCAATAGAATAGACTCTCTTGAATAGAGTCTAATTCTATTGGCTTTCAAAAGCCAATAGGAATTGTCCAGGCTGTCTCTGCCCTGCTGAGCCCACCAAGAGTCCCATTCTGCAAACGAGCTGTCTGGAAGTCCCATTCTGCAAACGAAGGCGAGCTGTCTGGAAGTTTCCACCCCTCCCTGCTGAGCAACTACTAAAAATGTAAGTAAAAGAGGGCCAGGGGTGGAAGGTGGGAGGCCGGCGAGCGCAGGGAGGGTTGCTGGCGCGTGTGGGGCCCGGCGGGTGCCTTACCTCCCTTGGGCTGGGCCAGCTGGTGGCACAGCCGGTGGTCGGCCTGCTCCGTCTCTGCCACTTGCCAGCTATGCCTCGGCTAGCGCAGGGGGCGGCACCACGTATGCGCGGTGCTCCCGGGCAGGGAAAGTCCTCGACTTACGACCGGTTGGGTAGTCCTCGACTTACGACCGGTTGGGGGTCGTGGTATTAAAAAGGTTAAGAACCACTGCCCTAACTAGATAATATCATCAGTGCTAGTAAGGAGTGCTATTTGCTGTCTGTTTATAGTCTAGTCTAGTGTCTTGCCTGTCTGGGTGGGTGGGTGGGCTGGTGGAACAATCTGGGATTCTTTGGTTGGGCTGTTTACTAATTGGAATTTTGATTCCTTTCAATCAGAAAATCTCTCCTATTCTCCAAACAGCACAGAGAGAGCTTCAAGGCACATTTTCACAGGAATAAATTTCATCATAGAAATGGAGCATAAAATAATAACGGTGACAATAAGAACAAAATATCTCTAATAAGCTCCCCCAACCAGATACTACCAACAACGCCTTATTATTTTGATTCTACAAGAGATAGAATTCTAACTTCAGGGCTTCCCTCTGGCTATTGATAAAGAAACAGGGCGGTGCTGGACAAACTGGGTGGAGGAAAAGAAATAGGCAGGTGACAAGAACTTTTCCAGAGTTGGAAATACAAGAATAATAGGACAACTAACTCCCTCGCATGGAGGGAGCGGAGTCAAATCGTCCCTCGTCCCGCTTAATAGACCTGACGAACTCAGTTTATACCTTGGAAGACCAGGGCGTTTCCTGTTTACTATTCTTCCGTTTCTTTGCAAGAGTGTTGCCAATCAAAGCAAATAGTGGAGCAAACCCTGCGCCTGGCAAAGCCCTCTATCCCTGTTTCGAGAAGAAAGGAAAACTTACATTTTACGTCCTTGCCAGGGAGTTACTCTAGAGCAAGCGCGTCGGAATCGCCTTTGCAAAAGGTATTTCCAGCCCCGTTGCCGTTAGCTGATCGGTACGTGTTCTGTTTGTGAGAAAAACGGGAGCTTTGCGACTGCTCTTCTCCCTCCTCCCGCCCAGCTCCAGGGGCCCTGCTAGGGAACAGGATAGGGCGGGAAGGCGGCAAAGAGCAAATGCAGCTAGATATGGGAGGGAGCAAGAGGCCCTGCAGTTCAAGGAAAATATTTCTGGACTCAGTCATTCGCCTGAGAATGGTGTAGTTAATGGCACATCAGAGGAACTCGCTGCTTAATTGCCAGCGTTCAAATGACGGAGAGATAAGGCAGAGAGAGTTGCAAGCTACGGTTGTTTGGAAATGACTTAAGTCTCATGCCTACGTCACAGGACCAAGCCCGTTGTGTTCATCGCTGTGAGATCAACAACCTAAATCCGTAGGCTTGATCCATAGGTCTTTGCCATTGATTAAGTAATAACAAAGCATCCATTGTACGTTTCCTCCACCCTGTTTGCTCCACCAGCCCAAGTGTTTGTTTGTTTTTTTAATTTCTTTTGTCGATGGTGAATCTTGGAACAAAAATGAAGAATTGCCTGAAATTCAGTCCGAGGTAGGTGCATTCTGGTAGCACAGATTCTTCTCATTTTTTCCCCTTCGTTATAAATGAATTTGTTTAGTTTATTCAATTTATTTTTACTTAAGACGTCAGGTGTGCCTGCGGAACTTGTTGGTACTCAAAAAGGTATCGACTGACGATCCTTAGAAGAATCGAACGTTCATTTAGTTGCCTAATAAGCCAATGGGCATGACGCCAGTCTAATTCGCGCCATGGTTGTAACAGGAAATGGGGAAACGGAATAAGAACTTTTCTTGGCAGCCCCGAATTGTTTAATGTAGAAAGAGCAAACTAATCTAATGAAACAATTAAAATGATCAGTGGTTGTTGAAAGTGTTGTGCAGCTAATTTTTAGGCTTGTTTATTAGCTATGAAATAGAAACATCATTACTGAAGTTGTAACAGTGTCGAGAATTATAACATAGAGTAGAATATTTAGAAGTAGATGGACGGCTTTTTTTCCAGCTGTCATAAATATTTCCAAAAACCACTGTGTAAGAAAGGCACTTCTTTTAGAATGGGAAAAGATAAAAGCGAAAATCTATATGAAAATACCAGGATGGCTTTCAACAATGGAAGTGTTTGTTTACCCAAACTATTAAGAACTATAAGAAAATTGTGACTTATAAAGATATTTTGAATATTGAAGGGAAATTAAAATCTAAACAAGAGTTGGAAGAACAGGGCATTGACTTATGGTGGCTGCATTTGCAAATACAAATGAGATATGAGAAAGATGCTAAAATATATGGTTTTTATAAAGACCCGATAGGGTTTGACCAGATACTATTGACATCAGATGAAAAATTAATTAAGAAACTATAACTTTCTGTTAAGTTTAAAGATGGAGGATGAACAAGTAAAAAAAATGATAACATGGGCAAATATTTTTGGGCACAATGTAGAGTTGGAAAGATGGCAAAACTTTTGGGGAAAAAACTATAAAATAACAATGGCAGCTGCTTATAAAGAAAATTTAGATAAAATGTTTTATAGATGGTACCTACTACTGTGAGGTTAGCAAAAATGTTTAAAAATATGTCTAGCAATTGTTGGAAATGTAGGCAAAACCCAGGCACTTATTATCATCTTTGGTGGATATGCCGTATGATTGACTTAACTCACTCACTGACTTAAATATGATATTTCCACTTACAATACATATTTTTTTTGGCCCTTTGGATCAGTACTGGAATGTGAGATACTTTTGTAATAGTTATGACATCATTCTAAAAAAAATACTAAAAATACTTTTAAGGGCATCCTGGTCAAAAATGCAAAATACACATCAGCTTAATAAAACAATAACAATAAAGCTATGAGCACAATCCCCCAATATGTCTTCTAAATCAGTGGTTCTTAACCTTTTTGAATGAATCGCCCCCTTGAGCCAATGAGGAAGTTGTCATCGCCCACCTCCCCCAACATAACCTTTCAATCACAACATAGGAAATAATTCTTCAATTTATGCAAACACTTTTTTTGTTTGCTTTAAAATTGTCATCAGGACATATGATGCAAATAATTTATTTCCAGTCTTTTTCCCATATCTCAACTGTGTGAAAAATTTTGGTACCACCCGTCACTTTATTCCCAAATTTCGTAATACATATATTTCATTCTTATCTTATTTATTCAAGACACTTAAATGTAATGACCACTGAAAACAAAATTCAATTGCAAGAAAGTGAAATGCCCGAAAAGAAAAACAGTAACATTTAATGATTGAATTACAAGTGAAATTTAAGATGCAAAAAGAAATATAAAAAGGGCATAAGAACAAACCACAGTGCAAGAACTAAGAATTTCAAGACGAAAACTCTGAAACTAAATTAAGATTCGAGGAAAGTATATATAGTCACACACACTGTAAAAAGGATTAAAAAGACACAAAGAAAATATAATATCAAATTGGAGTGCATGCTAAAAAAGTACAATACAAAGAGACACACAAAACAGCATACAATATTTTGAAAGAAGCGCTCACCCCTCCATCACTGCCCATTCTGGCCAATGGCGTGCCACTGTATCGGTAGAGCAGGGGTAAGCAACCCAAAACACTCAAAGAGCCACTTGGACCCGTTTCCCACCGAAAACAAAACACTGGGAGCTGCAAAACCCTTTTGACATCTAAAATGAAGATAACAACGCATATATCCTTTTTTACCTTTATTATATATATCTTCAGTGTTATCTTCATTTTAGATATCAAAAGGCGCTCTCTCTCTCTCACTCGCTCTTTTCCACCCTCCCTCTTTCTGTCCTTGGTCTGCCAGTCCTCTTCCCCCACTCAGTGTGTGTGTGTGAGAGAGAGAGGGAGAGAGAGGCACTTGCGCTTCCTCTCTCTTTCCTCTTTCTTTCTCTCTTTTTTCTCTCTCCCCTCTCCCTCTTTCCTCTCCCTCCCTCCCACTTCTTTCTCCAGGTGAGGAGAGAGAGGGGGGGCAGAAGGCGCCAAAGGGCGGGGAGGGGGGCAGAAGGCAGAAGACCCCCTTTCGCCGCTGGAGGCACCCAGCTCCACTGCCCACCGGGACTGCGGGGACGCCCCAGCTCACGGTCACATTGGCAGGCCATCCCACATGCCGCTGGAGTCCCCAGGCTCAAATCGGGGCCACAGGGTATCTGCGGAATGCCCCACCCATCAGCTGCATCGCCAAGCCTCCCCTCGCGCTGCCGGCATCGCCAGGCTTAAGTTGCAGGACATCTGCAGAATGCCCATCAGCTGCATCGCCAAACCTTCTCCCGTGCCGCTGGCGTCCATGGTCGGAACTGGGGAAACGATCCGCCTCCCACCAGGACCAACGCTGGAGCCTCCCGTGCTGCCGGTAGGTCCGTCATGTTGGAGGAGCTGGAGCCGCTCCGCACCGTGCAGTGCTCCCAGCGATCCGCGACCCACCAGCGTCGCCTAGGGAGTGATGCCCCCGCCAGCCCAGCCGGGACTGCCGCATGGGGGGCAGGAGGAAGAAGGGGAGGAGGAGGAGGGCAAGGAAGCCGGCACCAGTCTCCAGGAGGAGGCGCTCCCATGGGTCTGGCTAGGGCTCTTCTGCTGCTGGTTGGAAAATTCCCCCTCCCTTTCTCTCCCTCCCATCTTCTGCTCACCTCACATTCTTCACTGACAAAGGAGCCGGGACTCCGGCATGCCTTCCTGGCCAGGTGGGCTAATGGTCCCACGGTTGGGGATCACAGGGGCTGTTCTCCCTGCGATCCCTTGCGAGGCTTGCGGGAAGGCTGGCCCGCTCAGCTGAGGCTCTGGCGGGCTGCTCCCAGCAGGGATCCTGGGGCTTCCCCATGTGGTTCCCTGGCCACGTGCACCTCAGACAGGGCCAGCCAGGGAAAGGGACTTCCTGGCTGTGCTTGTCCCAGGGGGCAGGGCACCCGGGCGCAGGGCCAATGAGGAGCCCTGCGAGGGGGCAAATCTGCATGAGAGAGAAAGAGAGAAAAGCACAAGTGCCTCTTTCTGTCTCTCTCTCTCTCTGCAAATGGTGGAGGAGGCTCGGAGCTGCAGGGGAAGGCTCAAAAGTGTCCCCAAAACTTCTCACTCCATCGCCCCCAAATCGCCCCTTTTTTGTTCCTTCGCCCCCACGTCGCCTCTTTTTGTTCCATTGACCCTCTAAAAAACCACTGTTCTAAATTGTTATCATGTTTTTCTCCAAGACTTCACATTGGGCATATAAAATTCCTTAGCTGCAAAGAAGAAAAAGGGAAACAACAGACAGAACCGTAGGCAGCAATCCTACTTCTGCTCTTATGAACTGGAAAAATCATAAGATTATCAATACTTAATATATTTCATACTGAAGGGTAGATGAAGACAGAGTTTAGAGTGTCACTTTACCTGTCATGCTAGAATACACATACATTTGAACCAAAGTTATCTATTTAACTGAATGCAGTTTTACAAGTTGCTTCTTAACACTCTCCCAAAGGACTTTTGGTAATGGTTGAAGAGAACTGGACTTGAAATTTAATTCTGATGGCTTTTAAATTTTAGTCATAAAGCTACTTTTTGAGTTGTCAAAATGTAGTTTATTACATTTTTAACCTTTACCATAAAACCCATCATGAATTCTGGTGAAGCAGTGGGTTGCATGTAATTCATATTAATCACATTCCAGTAGGAAAAATTATGTGTAAGAAGTATGCACGGTACTTAATTGTGGAATTAATTGCATAAATATGCCCATAGACATGCTCCCACAAAGTCCTTGAGATAGCAAACGGACTGCTCCAAACACGGAATACATTCATCAGCCGTTTGGACAGGGTTTGATAAGAACAAGGGAAGCAGGATGCATGAATCATTATCCACCTGCATAGCCTTGCATCTGGAAAGTGTCTGTTATGTGATACATTGTAACCACCCCTATATACGTCTTTTGATTACGCTGTGTGATGTAAAAACTATAGTAACAATAAAATAGGGTGTTGGAGTCAGCTCTGGGCTCCCATCCCGAGATACCTGCGTGCGTGTCTCATTCTCCATGGGAGACCACCACATCTGGT